CACAGGTGGCTGCTTTGATCACCTGCGCAGGTGCCCTCCCACAAATACAAAATAGACCCCCCTAAAACCCTTAAGCCCTAAACCCTTAAACCATGAACCCTTAAACCCTAAACCCTAAACCCTGAACCCTTTAATCAATTAAGGCCCCTCTACATATATATATATATACACATACACATACATATATAGAGATGTTATATATATATATATTAGGTTTAAGGTGAAGGCTCAACCCTTGACTGCACCAGCAGATCCTGGCCGAGTGTGGGGAGATCTTATGCTGGCCTCCAAGCTTCTTGAAGAAGGGTTTCGGGATCTAGGGTTGAGGGGACCTAGGAATTAGGGTTTAGTGTTTAGGGCTTAGGGGATTTAGGGTTTAGTGGATCTACGGTTTAGGGCTTAGGGTTTAAATTTAGGGATTAGGGTTGAGGGTTTATGGGATTTAGGTCTGATTGTCTAGCTTCAGAACTTTACTGTGTTTCAGAGGTCTTTGACATGCTTCGAGTATCCCGAAAGCGTCGCACCCGCTGAAAAGGTAGATGTCTAAGCCGAAACTCAAAACTTCCCTGACCGAACCCTCAAACCACCTCCCTAGAGCCAGCAGGGGTGGCCCAACCTCCCAAATGCAAGGATTGCCTGCAGTACTTCGCCTACAGTAGGACTTTTCGGTGTCGGTTTCGTGGTCCGGTTTTCTGGCTTTGAAGGCTTTGGGATTTCGAGTTTCGACAGAGCTGTTGAGGGTTCACATGTCTGATGACAGATGAAGCCAGGAACCCAAAACCCGAGGAGACAAGGTGGATGCATGCCTTCGCACGCAAAGGAGAGCCACTGAGCACACCCACCTCGCAGAACATCGACAAGGGTTGGATGCTCCTCCTCCTCTGCATCATCATCATGATCAGCAGGAGCAGCATGATAATCACCACCATGATCCACATAATTAGCAGGACCGTTACCATCCTCGTCAGCTACTCAATTCCTCTTCATCTTAATATCTTCAGCATCAGATTCATCATGTGGCTCATCATCAGAAACACCACCAGCAACTTCATCATCTGCACCAGCACCGCCACGGCAGCCACAATCATCGTCTTCTTCTTCCTCCTCAAAAAAGAGCATGTGTGCACCAGCACCAGCCAAAGAACGATGCGAAAAGACACACGGCAGAAGCAGGAGTAGCAGCAGCAGTAGTAGCAGAAGCAGCAGCAGCAGCAGCAGCAGCAGCAGCAGAAGCAACAGCCTGTGCTGCACAAACTACGATACTGCCCCAAACAGAACCAAAGCTAATGTATTCGCTGATCGAAGTTGGGAACTGTGATCACAGACGTAGCAACGGCGTTGGACGGGATGTGAGATTGGAAACTTGACAACTGCGCCCAAAATTATAGAATGAATGTGCTGGGTATAGAATGAATGCGCCGGGCGATGAGTATGCAATTTATAACGACAGTGATGATTGGCATTTAATGAAGGACGATGACGGCAGTGATGACGATGATGGCCGCGATGACATCGACCAAGAAAACACTGCATCATCATGACACACGTGTTTAGACTAAGTCATCCTTGGAGTATGGCAACCACCGGATGTCAAAAACGAAAGGCCTCCAATAGTAAATAGTAGCCCACACAGCCCCTGAACATTAAACTCATGTAGGCAGTATTTATAAAGGGTTGGTCTCAACAGTTCATTTGTTCAGGGTTCCCAGAGACTCCAATATCCCTTAATTAAGGAATATATGAACCCTAACAAGGTTTAAGGTATATTCCTTAATTAAGGTATATTGGAGTCCCTGGGTTTTTGGGCTCCCAGATCCTTCTACCAGAAGAGCCCCAGCGCGATTGAGGCTGTCGCCCGTTTGTCGCGTGCGAGCAGCTCGCTCGCAGAGTGCAGGGCTCCAGCCTTGACTTGGAAGGGTTCAAAGCCTTACAGCTTAGAGGTTTAGGGTTTAGGGGTTTAGGGTTTAGAGGGTTTTTTCTTTGTTTTTGAACGCCTTTCTCCGTCCGCTAGAGTTTTGGCCTCCAAAATCTCCCATGTGCGGAAGGCAGCAAGCCAACAACCCTGCTTGCACCTGGGTACATCCGCTCCCTCAGAACCGCCCTTGGCCATCTCCGTTGCTGTCCTCTGCCACATCGTCCCTTGTTACCAATAGCTCTAGCCTTGCTTGGAGGTTAGAGTTTAGGGCTTAGGGCTTATAAAGTTTAGGGTTTAGGGTTTTGGGCTTGGGGTTTAGGGTTTGGCTTCGGGGCCTCACAAGGGTTGCCAAGAAGGTTGCTACAAGGGCTACTGTCTAGCTCCCATAGGCTATGGCTCAGAAATTTTTCTTGGAGCTGCAGGGCCGTTGCGCTTTGAGGCTTGGGGTTCGAGACGGGAAGGTGTGGAGAAGTCTCGTGGACTTGTAGCTCCAGCCAGAATCTCGTCATGTTCGGGAATACACGAGGACCAAGGCTTAGGGTTTAGGATTTACCCTAAACAAAGGTTTTTTTTTACGGGCCCTTTTCCACCTGCGTACAGAGTAGAAGTCCTTACCAGGATGAGCCTACAAAGGTTTAGGGTTTAGGGTTTAAGGAACCCTAAGCCCTAAACCCTGCTTTCGCTTGTTGTGAGCATCTCAGCGGCCAACGGAGCAAGGTCCCCATAAGCCTCCTTCGCCATGCACACGAAGGGCACCGACCTCAGTGGTGCTAGGAGGATTCGGGCTTAGGAGCCCTGTACAATGGTAAGGGATTTCATTTAAGTTACCATCATAAGGAAACCATATTATTTACTATAGCTCCCTATTATGATAACTTAAATTAAATCCCTTAACACAAGAACCCAGTACAAAGAACTGAAAGTCACTTGCCTCCCTGTACCAACGAAAACGATCTATCTGGTAGAACAAGGATGGGTCTAAAGCTCCGGGCCAACACTTCCAAAGCACACACAGCAGAAAGACACGTTGAAGAAGTCCGACATGTCGCGGTTGACATGTCTTCGAAGATGTAAGCGAATCCTCCACTTCTTAAGTGTAATACTTATGCTTCAGGCGCGCGCGAATATGCATTTTGAAGCCCGCGAGAGGTGGGGGCAAAAGGACAGGCCACGATCCCCAAAAACGAAGAAACCGGGCCACAACGGCCCCAGGGATGCCCAGAGCCCATGGCCCCCCAGGGTCTGTCAACCCCCAGGCTCTGAACGCAAGGAAGGCTCCAAAAAGAGCTCCTTTTTTGTCCTTTAAATAAAATATAGACTATATGGCATGACAGCATAAGTAAATCATAAGTCATATGTCAGAAAACTGCAAGATACTGTGGTTATATGCTTGTCGGAGAACATCCCCACAACCCCAATGAACCTCTTGAGGCCCCTACATTAGATCCCTTTAGACTCCTACAAAACCCAATGCCTTCCCCACCAAAACCCGCTTAAAACCCTGCCAACACCCTACCTGAAAACCCGATTAAAGCCCCCATCAGAACCCCATTCAAAACCTGCTAAATCCCTATCTGCGTTTGATTAAAAACCGTTCTTCATCAAAAAAAGCTCAAATTAAAAACCGTTCTTCATCAAAAAAAGCTCGAGTCTGTTTCTAATTTTAAATCAGCCCCTCTGGCTTCCTCAGGTCCGAGGGACGTCGAAGAGAACGCAGCGATAGAGCCTGGCGACCTCGTGGAGTTTAGGGCTTAGGGCTTAGGGCTTGGGGTTTAGGGTTTGGGGTTTAGGGTTTTGGGTTTTGGGTTTTGGGTTTAGGGTTGAGGGCGCAGGGCTCAGGGTTTAGGGTAGTTAAGCTAGGATTTTGTTTGAAGGTCTTTTCCAGATCTGTAGAGAGCCTCCAAACAGGCAGGCTGGCGTTGCCACCGTGGTTAAGCGAGGGCTTAGGCCTTAGGAGTAGGATGATGGAAGGTTTAGGGCTCGGACTTAGGAGTGTTCAAAGTTCAGGAATTCAGGAATCTTTGAACTTAGGATTATCGGAGCGTATAGGACTTAAAAAGTGTTCTCACGATTTTGAAGTTTGCAGCTTTGCTCTCTAAACGGGATCGGGTCCAGCTTGACGGTTTTGCCAATGAAGCGACATTGCTTTGAAGATAACCCTAAACCAGAAACCTTATAAGGATTTGTTGATATGCCTGTGCGTCTCGACAACCACGTGCGACAGTCGCCCAAAGGTGCAAATGCACGGAGTAACAGACAGTACGGAGAACGTTGTAAAGCCTTTCCATTGGGAAAAACGGGAAACAAAGTATGCAGGCTCAAAAGATCGAATCGGAGCAGGCAGCACGAGAACCTCGACTAGACCGGCAATATCCTGCGGTTGCACACTACCTGGTACATGGATTTCCGGTGCACTGAGAGCAGCACGTCCTTTAACCCGGCCACAAAGCGTGGAAATGCCGCCATTGCTACTCATGGAATCCACGAATACGATGCTTGACTCTAGTTTCGCATCAGCTGGAACTCAAGAAGACCATGCCCTAAGCCTACCGAGCAGTCATCTCGCAGCAGCTAGCATCAACATACTTAATGCATCGGAACAACGCTTGCAATATCACCATGAACTACATGTCTTGCAACATCTTTGCACTCACAGGCTTCCGCTTGCTGCACGGATATCTCTACATTGGAGCCAATGGCTCAAGCCGAGTCATAGCTGCCGGCATGGGACGCTGCAACGTTCGATTCTGTTCAATGAGGCGAGCAGTTCTGTAAACACTCTTCGTCGTCTTCTAGAAGTTGACTCAGAGGCATTTTCGTTGCTAGTCTGAGCGGCAGCGCCTACAACTTGGCATGGGTCTCGCTCAAGGCCTTTATGCTGGGGTGATGCAACCCCTAGAGCCAACCTCACCCGCTTCACGCTGCTCGCTCGACTGGTGCGCGAGGGCGAGTCGAGAAGGGAATATAAGGACTACTATAGGGAGCTTTACAGGAACCTATTATAGCGATCCATTCCCCACTCCCCTAGGCACCCAGACGTAATGTTGCATCGCGGGGTTCGCACCGCTCACATCTGCCACGAAGGTCAATCAACACCTTAAATCAAGAGACGCCTTCAAGCAAGATGGCTTCAGTTCCTGTAAGAACTGGACATTGCAAGCCAGGAGGCATGCAGAGTTCTTGCAGGTCAGGGAAAGGAACGGGTCGCAGTCAAAGTCGTTCTCGCAGTTGTCTCCTTTCCCCTGGAAGACCACAACCCCGTTGTCGACGTGGCTCAGCGCGCAGATCCCTTTCTTCTTCTTAGCAGCACGGTGCATTACAAGCATGTCGTGCTCTTGCAGGGCATTCTTCTAGCTCTTGCAACATGCGACTGCAACCCAAGACCCTGAGCCTTAAACCCCTAAGCCCAAATCCCTAGGCCCTGAACCCTAAACCCTAAACCCTAAACCCTGAACCTGAATCCTAAACCCCAAACCCTGAACCCTAAGCAATGAACCCTAAACCCTTTAATCCCTAAACCCTTAAGACCTGCCATGCAGCATCTTGCCAGTTTCGAGTTGCGGTGTCGAACTGCTCCAGAGCGGGAGACCTCATCCCAAGCAGGCCATAAAAAATAGCTCCGGGGAGGGGAGGGGGGGGGGGGGGTCCTAAGGGGTTTTGGGGTCTGGCGTCTTTATGGGTTAGAGCTCTTTAAGGGGCTAGTGTCTTTATGGGTTAGAGCTCTTTGGGGGTCTAGTGTCCTTATGTTAGAGCTCTAGTGTCTTTGTGGGTTAGGGCTCCGAGCCTCCCCTCTTCATGAGAACACGAGTGCCGACCACTAAGTACCGAGAGCGTGGAAACTTCCCTGAAGCTGACTGAGGGGTTTAGGGTTTAGGGTTTGGGGTTTAGGGTTTGGGGTTTAGGGCTTAGGGTTTAGGTCTGATGAGACCATGGTGAAAAGCAGCAGAGTGGCGAACCCTTCGATTCCTGTGTGATCATGTCCCGGAAGAGGCAGCGAAGCCCTTTGACGCTGGAGCAGCAATCTCCATCGCCCTCGCAGGAATATCCTGCATGTACACCGAAATGCACCCGCCCAGTAGCCCTCTGGTTTCATGCACTGCAATCCACAGTCCTTCGCCCCTGCACTGAGTGCTCTGTTTCGCCATCTCAGAGAGGCTGCCGTCCCGGATGGCAAGCACAGCCGGAAACCAGAAGCAGAAGACCTCACCGCCGTGACAAAAAACGCAAGTCGGACCGTCGGATGACAGCGCCAACGCAGCAGGCCTTCATGAAGGAAAAGAGCCGTTGGCAGAGATACGGAGGGACTGATGATACCACACCCTTGAGATATTGGCTGCACAAGCATCGCATAGCTGTAGCAGCTTGCACATGTGCATGCTCCAGCAAGATCATGGCTCGGAAGAAGGGCCCTCTCTTGAATACGTCCTTCTTGTGGAATTTCGAGCAACTTTCGTATCTATTCAGCTGAGAAATCAGCTGCAGCCCCGAGCACCAGCCTCCCTCACTCTTCACCCAGAGGTTGAGCACTGAAGAGCCCTCTGCTCGGAGCACCTTACCCGACACCTCTGCCGAAGTGCTTGGAGGTTCATGGGTAGTTATAAGTTATAAGTAGGGTTATAAGTAGGGTAACTATACTTATAACCCTACTTAGGGGACTTATAACCCCACTACCCATGAACCTCCAAGTGGGAAAGGACGAGATCCCCTGGGGAACCGAGACAGCTCTGGCGAGATGGGACTGGGGAGCCCAGTTGATTCCACTTTGCCATCGCCTAGCAGCAGTTTGAGAATGCAAATGGGCTCCGTTTGTATTCTGCGAAAATGCAGGGCTGATCTGAATAAATACAATTGCAGATCTCTCTCTTTTTTTATGGGAGCCTCTCCTGGACTAGAGCCTACTTCTTCACAAGTCTCAGGTCACGGAACAGTGACTGCGGGACAGAAGCGCTCCGAGCCAGTCGGATTAGGCAACCATTCTGCAGGCATCAATGAAACATCAACTGATTCATTCACCCAGAATTCGGCACCCAAGGGTCGACAGAAGCAACAAAGAGCTGGCACCCCCTTATGCCTTATTCATTACGTTGCGCCGGAAATGTCTGTTCGCTCTTCTTTTCCAGAGAGTCAAAGGGCCGGCAGGGCTCGGATCTGCTGCGAGGGTCAGTTGACTTTTTTCGCACCTTGGCTCATGAAGCGCCTTCAAGCAAGATTGCTTCCGTTCTGGAAAGTTCTGGTTGCTTATTGACTGATGCTAAGACCTCAAAAAAATCGGAAAGGAACTGAACTAACTTTTTCTAGGCTTAACTTTCACCAATCATGAACCCGTAAGACTGGGACATACAAAGCCAGGAGGCATTCGCCGCTTGTGCAGGTCAGGGAGAGCTTCGGGTCGCAGTCGAAGGCATTCTCGCAATGATCACCCGGTCCCTGGAAAACCACTTGGCCCTTGTGGGTGTGAGCATTGGCACAGAGCCCGGCCGTTTTCTTAGCAGCACAGGTCATTTCAAGCATGCCATGTTCTGACAAGCTCTATCAAGTGTGACTGCAGCCCGAAGTGCGGTCACCTTCCTTCTGCCAAGCAGCATCCCAGCCCGAAGTTGCGCGTACGAATTGCTCATGGGCGGGAGACCTTATCCCAAGCAAGCGAACAAGCGAACCTAGGAAGTGCTGCATCTCACAGGGGGGGGCTACAAACATCTCTGTGCGGCAGAGTGGCGGAGAATCAATCTTGCCTAAGAAAAGGCATCGGCGCCCTTTTCCATCATGGCTATGAAGATTCTTGCAGCAGTCTTCATCCCGGTGACAGGAGTATCCTGCATGTCTTCCACCGGAATGCAGCAGTCAACCGGTCTGGCATGGTTTGACATGCTACACTCGACCACAGTCCTTCGCCTCTGCACGCCGTGTTTGACTTCTCGACGTCGAGGCTGCTGTCGAGGCCGCTGTCGCGGATGGCAAGCACAACTGGAAACAGCAAGCAGAAGGCCTCGCAGGCGACGTCGTGTGCAGCACAAATAAGACAGCATAACAGCAGTGCAGTGCAGCAGGCCTTCATGTAGGAAAGGAGCCGTTGGCAAAGGTAGGGGCGGATTGAAGATGCAACACACTTGAGACAAGGCTATGCGGATGGTCGTATGTCATATGAGATTGTAAACAATGACAAATTCCTTCTCCTGCTCCAGAAAGTTGTGGCAAAATCTCAGTGAGTCATAGCAGTTTCGGATGAATCATGTCTCAATTCGATGTACGAACATTTCGTCTGGTTCCAGTACGGACACCCGGCACCCGTTTTACTGCCAAGCATACCGCAAACGTCAAACCATGCAGATCTCAAAGGGGCAAGATGCAACGTCTAGGCTCGCACATCGCGGACTGTGCAACATCTGAGACTCAAAACATGTGGGCGATGCAAAACCTCACTTTCCAAGCATATGGAAGTTGCAAAGTCTCGAACTCAAAACACATAACGGTGCAATCCCAAAGCATCAGACCGAAAGCACTTGGGGCGAGCCGAACCGCCAGCTCCTGCAAGTGAACGGTTCAGGGTTTAGGGTTTAGGGTTGATGCAACATCTGAAACTTCATTCACACGACCTGTTCAAAGTCTCGAGCTCAAGGCACATGGTCAGGCGCATGTAATAGTCACAACAGGCACACGATTCAAGCTGACCCAAAGAGCGCACAGGAACTCAACTCGTAAACGATGACAGAAGGAAGGCAAACTTTCTCTCCGTGAAACTATGTGAAACTGCTTTCACTTTCAGCTTTGTGACCGCACAGCTCCATCATGCTGCAGACAACTGCAGCATTGCAGCCACGCCTGGGGGCTTGTGGATCTTGGCGCAAGCTTTTAGTTCTGTGTTCTACAACATCAGCTCGAGCCGTGAAGGTCAGAACCGTGCAAAAACAGTGCGTATCCAGAGAGCCCAGTGGCTCTTGGCTCAAGAACAAGCTTAAATCACCACATGAAGCCCTCTCACAACTAAAAGTCTTTCCCTTAATGGATTGGTCCTGGCACCAGGTCTTCCAATTTTTTTTGAAAAAAATTGATTTTGCCTTGTTTTCACCTGTTTAACGGCTCCTGGGCCCTAATTACGTTTAAAACACCGAAAACCAGTCAAAATCATTTTTTTTATATAAAAGAAATTGATTTTG